CTTTAAGCGAAATTCAAGCAATGAAATATCCCTCAGTCGAGAAAACGAAATAAAGTAAGCGCAGGGACTGCGTCAACACTTGCTAAACTTCACCTTTTCTTTAACTATTCTTCGACTTCAAAAGCGCGGAATTACGGGAGCAATAGATTAACGGCTCTCTCGTTATATCATTCTTCGACTTCGTGAGCGCGGGATTGCGGATGCACTAGTTTAACGGCCATATCATTTTATCATTCTTCGACTTCAAGAAAGCTTGAATGGAGGACCGCTGGTTTAAACGTCCTCTCTTTTAAACATTATTCTTCGACATCGGGACCGCGGTAGCAATCAATTCATAACAGTCAATAGCGGCCGGGTATTCTGAAGTTGCTCCCATTAACATCTCAAGCAATATTTGATTCAAAATTTTTCTCATGCTCCACTCAGTCTCCTTTAGAACGAAGAATAACCATAGCCATACACTGATTTCAACTCCGCCGCTTTCTCAACAATACTAATAGGTTTCCTTGATTCGCGAACCGCCCTCCCCGAGTCATGCGTTGATTCGCTGAAATTTGAAGACCTGTCAAACCACAAATTAGAAAGAACGCTCTGATTGGTACGACATCGAAAATACTACAATCTGATTGGTTTGTGATACACCAAAATATTGCGCCAATCACATTGCTTTGAGATACACCAATGAGATTGCTTAGTGGTACACCAAATCGCGCTGATCAGATTACACTACACCAAAATACACCAATCTATACGCTAACATATAGTTTTTTTTTTTATAATTTTTTTATTTCACAAAATCAGTAAAAATACAGGATAACAAACAAAATTAAGACAAATTAAGATATAAATATGAAAACAAGTTTAAAAAGTCTCTAGCCGAGAGAAAAGTCTTGACAACTGTTCTACAGAGTAGCACAATTCATCTTCTGTCTGCATTATTTTGCTTCAGCTTCATTGAGCAGAACAGCAAATAAATTGACGATACATGATCGACGTCCTTAATAATAATAATAAAATTTTCCTTAAAAATATTTCACAAAAAGCAGTTCTCTTAAAAAAAAAAAAAGAAAAATTCAGTAAGCTAAACTACATAATAAAAAATTGACTACTTAAATTCTGGCTTGCGCACTTTCCGATGTAATGTCAGTGTCAGATATATTGGCTACTCTTCTCTTTCTCCTGGTTCCTCTGAGACACAGCAAAGCTGAACGTAGAATGGCAAAGGATGTCTTCGCCCTTATCCAAGATATGGCTGTAGCGTAGTCATCTCCTTTCTTTAACCCAAGTAACTCTGCGAGGCGGCTATGGAATCTCTTGCATTCATCGGCCATTCCACCTGTACTTGTAAAAACTAATAGTGTGAATGTCGCTTGCTCCACTTCCAAAACCCGCCTGCTGTATTGCATCTTCTTCTCATTTTCATGTAGTTGGAATATCTGTTTCGGAGACGATTCTCGATACGAATCTGCGTTTGGGTGACACACCCGAACATCGAAGAACGCAGATTGTTGTCTGTCCCAAAACCCGCTAGCGTGGATATCTAGTCGGGCATCAGGCGCTCTGTTTGCGCCTCTGTTTAGCTCTTCCCAAGTGATTTCCTTAAGAACTGGCTGTCTCTACGTCAGTGCAAACCATGCGCAACATTTCCGCTTCTAGATCCCTAATCTCATTGTACCTTTGAATGATCAGCCCCCCATGCCGGCAGACCATAGCATGATCAACGGTAAAAAAGTCCCCACCTGTGCACATGGCAGGTAGGTCAGCGATCTCTCAGTCATACCTTAGTTTAATTGCGTCTCTGAATTCTCTTTTGTTCAAATTAAAATTCGTCTCCTTTATCGGGATCACTGTCAACCAATTCGAGGCTCCTTTCTCCGCAGCTAGCTCTACCCTGCGTTCAGTTTTGCTAGACAAGGATTCCCTCACTTGCTCACACTGCCTCTTTAACAATTCCTATTTTTCTCTTCGTGCATTCGCTTGCAGGGTCTTAATTTCCGTCTCATCCGGTGGCTCTTAGGCTTGCTTGATAATTTGCCCCACATAATTTGCCGCACATAAAAAAATTATTATTATTTGTTTTTAAAAATAACTCAAAAATGTTATTCACCAGCATAGGTCGGTCCGTATTGGGAAAATCTGAGCCCTCTGTCTTGAGTACCGCCCTCGGCCTACGGCCTCGGGCGGTATCCAAGACCTCGGGCACAGTTTTTCCCAATACGGACCTCCCGGCTGGTGAATAACATATATATCTTTATGATTTGTTTATGAAAATAGCGAAAACACTGGAATTAAATTTGTTGGTTTGAGTACGCTACAGAAATTCTATCCGTTCTTGTGGTCACCTAGATTGTTACCAACGTCATTGTCGAACGCAATGGGAACTTTCATTAAACTGACTGGTAACATGCGCACGCTGCTGAGGAAAATAGTGTGTATACGGAGGAATCCTCAACATCTCTCATGGATATATGTTTAAATTCGCCTTCGTTCTGGTTAGTTGAGTTCTACCGTCCGAGAACCCGGCCCTTACGTCTCCATACCAACGTCTTGGTCTCGAAATCTCCTCTGTTCCAAGAAACTAGGATACAACAACTATACAAGTCTCTGTGCCTTTTTCGTTTTCATTTTCTTGTAAAAAGAGTATTCCCCTAGAAGGAATTGAAGAAAGATCTTCATCCTTCGAGTCCACGAGACACCTTTGAAACCCCAAAGTTCTTTCCACGTTCTGTTCCAGGATTAATAAAAAGAGAAAAATATAAGCAAACAGATAAATAAACAAAGATCAGTTCATCTTCTTGTTTCGTGGCTACAGGCCGAAGAAGTAACTAGTAGCTTTTTAACGACTCGGAAATATAATAATAATAACAATAACAATAATAATAATAATAATAATACTAATAGTAATAATAATAATAATGCATTTCGTAATGCTAAATGTTTTCTTTTGTCATATATAGTAATCAGTCCTCTATCGTGAACATTAATATTAATTATTTTAAAAATTTGTAAATAATTAGATATATGGTTTAAAATTGTAAATAATTGCTGTAATTATTAAACGAAGCGGGCCAATTTTTATCATAATTTTTGTAAATAATTTTAGTGATTATAGTGAATAAAGGTTTATAATTATCATAAAAAAAAATAACAACAACAACAACAACAATAATAAAACCATTGGTTGGGCGGTATGGTACTTACGAGCTTAAGTTTCTTTCTTTGCGTTTTAACAACTATGTTCAACAGAAATGTTTGCTAACAGATTTCCTGTTAGCAGAGAGATGTGAGGATCAACTAGAGTTCAAAGAATATGACCCCTTCGCGCATTTAGATTCTGTCCAGTGTGTAGTTATAACTATGATGCTATCCTCCTAGAAAGCATCTATCATCAAACACTGTCAGCTCAACTTTCCCTAAACTCCTGAATAAAAGGAAAAATTCCTCTGGTATAATCGTTTACAGTGCTTTACCTGTGAAGTGTGCTACCATCTGATGAGTAATACGTTGTACCACCGTCAGTAATAACCTTGAACTGGAAAAATGTTAACTGCGGATGAAATAAGAGGAGACAAGACATTTCATACGATGAAATGAAACGGAAAAAATTGAGATGGGATTGGATAAAGTAAGATGAGCCAAGGTAAGACAAGATTAGACAGGATGTGACAATGAGAAGAAACAAGATAAGGTTGTTCAGTCTGCGTTGATTGTTTTGTTTCGCGTGATATACTGGAGAAGACAGCTTTTGGTTTCAAAACAAGTTTACTTCATGTAGCTAAAATAATGCACGCGGTTAAGCATAAGAACCGGTATTTAACCCCCGCAGGTGTGCAAACCATGTCAATTTAGTCACGCCTCGAATTGCCGATAATCAGTCCCTAAAGTAACAGTGATGTCGAATTCTTAGCTTGTGTATCCTGTACAGAGTGGAAAGTTGAAACCACATTTTCTAATTAGCGTCACAATAATGATTTATTTTTTCACCAAATGTCACTTATCAACGCCTATGTTATGAATTAAAGTCCAACAAAAGACACTTTATCATATTGTTACTGCATCTTTCAACTATAGGAACAACAACAACAAAACAAACTAAATGCCAATCACAGGACTTACGAAAAATACATAGAACAATCCGAGGCAATTGAGAATAAAGAGAACTGAAACATAGACATCATGGCCCATAGCCTCCTGTACTAGTAAAAAAGCAGTAAAAAATAGTGTTTAGTGATCAATTTAAGAATACTTCAGCCTTTTTCATAATCGTCTCTAAATTCCTGTTGGCTAGTTTAACCGTGAACAACAGTATTCTCACGTACCCCGAATGACGATGCCTCTCCCATAAACACTTTTAAGTTAAAATCTGTTGGAGGAACAGAAAGGCTCATTCAGACTAGAAAATATGAGAAATCCCATATTAGACTTAAAAAAAAAAAAAAATAAAATAAAAAGTCAGGAGGTATATCATGATACCAAGGAAAATTCCTTTTCGTATTGGCCTGCACCTTCTCTCGGTTTATCGGCGAGAAAAGTTTGTGAATCATTCGCCTCCGCCCCGTGTTTCAAAACTTTTTGAGTGTTCTCCCAACATCCCAAGAGAGTTATTACGCGCCGGTGAACCGATAAAAAGTGCATTGTATTGCTTATATAAGAAAAACTTTACACAAAACATAAGTATGTTTCAATTTTTCTGTCTGTTTGACAATGACATACACGACGGCACAACTGGTATCCCGAACTATCTCCCTAAGTTACAACTTCAACTCACACGAAGTTGTTGCCCTCACAAACAGAGCATTGGCCACTAATATTTCAATGATAAAGCACACAAACGCTCTGTGGTTGTTCCTTGCCACACAGTTCATGAGGAATAGACAGTGGTGATCCAAACTCTCTATACATACTTCGCACAGTTTGCAATGTTTTGTAAATTCAGGCATCACAATCTGTCAAGAGAACAATGAAATGTTTTGCTGTGAGTGCTACTATTATTGTAACATTCTTTAGTTACGATAACTTCCCCCGGTAACTATCTTCACCCTTGTAAAACCAAACATTGATAAGAAAGTAACACACACAATCCACCCTGAAAATTTTCATTTGTACATGAGACAAATCATTAATTTTAGAGGGAGCGGAAATTCCAACGAACGAAGTTTCGCTTCTTCATGACTTTGAGAACGCTCATAATTAGCTGCAATTAGAGCAACAAGTTTACTAAAATTCCACGACACTTTCGCAAAAGAAAAATTGCACTCATCTTCGTCTGGAAGCACCCACAAGGCGACGTACTTCGTCAAAACCCCTTCGCATCCCCTTCATGAGATTATAATGTTCTTGCTATTTCAGAAATAGTGCTATCAGAACGACTAACTCCATTTTCTTGTTTTGAGCTTTTAGATATGATGGTATGAGATGCCAAAGCAGAAAAACTCAAACACTCGATTGTAAATTATGCTATCCGAACTTTGGAATAACTATTTTAATAAACCACAGTGTTGCTACCTCGCAAACGGTGCAAAATTGACTCTCTGGTAAGACTCCTTTGGCTACATCAAGAATGCTCTGTTGGGGAAATAAATTCAATTTTCCTGTTTAAAATTAAAATGATAATAGTAATAAAACTGCCCAATTCCGAAGTTTTAAAATTCCGTGTGAAAACAATTAACAACCACACGAGGCATCAGGGAATATGATCCCCCCGAGTTACAAGCTCTGTAGGTTATTCCCCAAAGCCTACAGGTGAGGTCATCGATTTGCCACTGAATATCAAAATATCGAAATTGGGATATGAGGCGCTCCTTTAAAATAACATTTAACGCAACTGATTAATTTTTCTTGATTTATCTCCAGCTACTTCAGAAATGATGGGGCCAAGCCCTTAGAATTCAAGCTGGTGAGAAGCGAGAAGTCAGAGTGGAGTCTGACATTAAAAGCATGCGCGGATTTCTCGCGCGCTCATAACTATAAAGCGGGATCAGGGTCAAAATCCAGTTCCAAATAGGAACAGGCGCAACAAAAAGCCAGACATCGAAATAGGGACAGGCACAGCCGATTAGGAACAGGCACAGCTTATTAGGAACAGGCACAGCTCATTAGAAACAGGCACAGCTCATTAGAAACAGGCACGGCATAATAGGGACAGGCACAGCCTATTAGGAAGAGTCACAGCTTGGCAAAGCGAGGAGCACTGGGCATCAAGATTCCCAGAAGGCCCTCTGAGATGCAAATTAAAGATGACTACCAGAATGCAGCAATGCAAGTAAGTAAATCACAGGCTAGGGGACCCACACAAGCGGTGTGTCTGGTCGTTTGTTCGAAATATAAAGAAATGTATGGGAGAATATTGAAGAGTCGTAATATCGTAAACTTTTAATAAGGAATC